GGGGGGGAGTGGGTGTCTTATTTCTTCTGTTTTAATACTGTTATCAACAAATAGATGTAGTTGATCCAATGTACTTATTTTTTTTTAATCAGAAACAGGACAAGGCAAGCACCAATAAGTCTAGGTAACAAGATAAAAAATGTTACACTGATCTAGTTTTAACAACTTTTGCATTTTACAAATAAAAAAAAAAATTAACATCAACATTTCTTGAACATTCATCTTAGTTGATATGCAACACAGGAAAGTGTTTATAGCATCCCTTCTACATTTTTGGAAATAGCACTGACAGTTCCTTCATGCAGTTTTTACTTTGATCTGTATGTTTCCACCTCACCCCCAAAATGAAGAGAACACAAGCAGCAATAGGCTCTTCAGTCAACTACAACAGTTTTCCTCTGGCTTAAGTTCTATGCCTATATATTTTAACTCCCTGATTACCATGAATTATATTTTTAGAGAATTTTCCTCCTTGCAAGTACTTTTTCTTTTCTCTCTCTGAGAAACTCCCTCCCACTGCTCACAGTGCCAAGCACACCTGGGCGCTTAACAACTTCCACCAGTGCAAAATTGTTATTCTTCCCTCAGTGAGCAGAAGTTCACTGCAGGCTACCATATGCTGGATGACAGCAAGACAACAGGCCAGTTTTTATGTGTATTTCAAAACAGCATAATCAAAATTGTAGGAGTTGGCCACTTTTCTTTTTTTACAGACTTCAGTTGCTACTTTAGTCATATAGTACATTTTACCATATGGTCCAGAAATGACAACTGGAACATTACAAGTGTGAAAATAATCTACTATGATACAGGGAAGATGTAAGTGCTCACTGGCACCACATGTAATTCATATACTGAGGGAGTAGAGAGTAATTTCATGGATTGTTGGATTGTTTTTGAGTTCAAAAGCAGAAAATCAGATATCTAAGGTTTCTATTTACACCAGAGTTTCACCAGGTTTTGCAGTGCTCCCACTGGCAGCATCACATTAGGCCTTTTTGGGGTATCCCATAGTTTTTTATGCTGCAGTGAACCAGGTTGCTCAGCAAGTGGTTTTCCAGTGAGCTAAGCAAGAACTTGCTCATAGGACACATGGGTGAGAAACATTATCAGGATTCACAGGATTTAACCTGCATCACAGAAGTGGATCTATGAGTCGTGGATTACTCTTAACCCCACCAGCTGAACCATTAGGCTCAGTGTCAAGGATAAATATGCACATAGAGATGAAGAAAAACACAGTTAAAAAGCAACCATCCCCAAATTAACATATTTGCACAGAGTCCTTTATTTTCTGCTATAACATTGATAAGCCTTAAAGAAAGAAGTCACCAAGCATAAAAACAATAATTTGTTCCTATTTCATCACCTCATCACCAAGTTTCATTCTAAAGTTATTTAAAAGAAAATGCTGCAGAAAAGGTAAACTCTGGTGCTGAGGTCTAATAGGATTTATCCAGGAAGGGTATTAATGTGAGGATCAAGTCAAGTCAGCCTGTAACAGACTACGTTTCCTTGCTTCAAGAATAGAAAATTTGTTACAAAAGGAAAATTAGTAATGGAACACTGTACTCTTTATCTGTACTTTTAATCAAAACCTTAAGATGATATATTTAAGTTATTTACGTAACTGACAGACTAAATTATCTATAACATTTTGAAAGCAAGAAGGGAAGCACGGGGAAACTGAACACATTCTCTTGCATTTTCTAATGTGAATGAGATGCTGCAAAATGAGGTGAAATTACTTAAGGTACCCTCAGGAGCCTTAAGTAGGTATTCTTACCCCCTCATATTCCCTCCCTGGCTCTGCTTTTACCCCATCTAGCTGCCAGCTTTGGCATTCACAAGGCTTTTGCTGAGAGGAATAATTCATTAATCCAGACAAAAAAAAAAAAACAAAAAACAACCCCAAAACTTCCTTTTCCTTGGGTTAACAAGTTAAACTGTTTCACTGACACGTCTAATCAGTGTTACAATCAAAGCAAATTAAGTGTTGAAAGCAAGTGGTAAATGGAGGTAAAGAAGCTCCAACTATATGGGACCAAAATAACGTATGGCAATTTAAGATGTTACAAGCTTCAACTTCTTGGAGAAAAAGTTTCTGGCATTTCAAGATTGCAGAAAATCTTGGGTTACTTTTGTGAAGGCACAGGAAAAGCCAAGATTGAAAGTTTACTTTGTTTGTCCTGGAACAAAAAAAGTTTGAAGGTACTGTGTGTGCTATGGTATTAGTAGCAGAACAGAAATACAACAGGAAAAGAATTACCATGTGTATGGAAACTGCTGAATCAGGGCCTGAACCTCTGATTGACCACCTGAGGCAAGCAATGAGTCAGCTCTATTGGAAGGGGTGGAGCCTGGGGTACACCTCTCCTAGACCCCATTTAAGAGCTGACTACTACTAGGGAAGGATCTCTCTTGGAGATCATTCCTCTTGGAGTCTTCTTAGTGAGCCTAGGACAAGGGTAAGCTTTCCATCCATTCTTCTTTAGCATGATAACCTGTTTAGCATAGCTTTCCTGTGTATTTCTTAATTATAACATCTGTATATTCTTTGATTATACACTATGAAAGTACTGAGCAAATAATACAAACAGGATAGTAAATATCAAAGTTGAAATGTAGAATGATGAGATTTAAGACAGAACAAAGACATGCAACAAATGCAAGTAAAAATACAGAATTAAAGCTGTGTGTAAAACACCAGGGAAAGTGAATTTAGGGAAAACAGAATACCAGGTCTAACAACCCAGGTTACAGCATTGTTACCACTAGCCTTAGAAGCTCGTGTCTGCACACACACTAGCTGCTAATCAGTAATAACTATTACATCTCAAATTATAGGCTCAGTAGTAAGTATCTGATTTGATGCTTATCAGATCCTAACCTCTGCCATTTCTAATCAATTTCTCATGCGATCTCATTCCTCCACTGTTTTACACAAACTCACGTTTGCTTTGCAGATTAAGCTTTTCTCTGACATTACATACATCTTGTTGAAGTTATTTTAGAGCTACACTGGAAGAAAGAACTAGATTTGTACATAGGATGGTGCCATGTAGCATTTCTATCACAACTGCAAGAACAGAGGAATGTAGATAAAAATAACCAAGTAACAGACTTACAGGAAAACAGTAATAAGCATAATAGCAATGATATGTTTGAACTAATTAGAGATTGTATCTTGCTGTAGAACAAACTTGTGAAAGATTGGAATCTAAAAACCTGATTCCCCAGTTGAATGGGGGATTGTGAGCTCAAAGTCCATTACATACAGAATAACAGTAAAGGCAAGAGAATCAATATGTAGCATAGCACTCAGTGCAGCAGAACACAACTAAAAGGAAGTGTGTTTGCTGCAGTTCATCTAACACATGCCACATGTGCCTCCCCAGCAGTAAGTCAAATGACAGAAAATGCCACTTGAGCTTGCAAGACATGCATGTGAACATTTAGAAGAAAGTTTGGGTGGAAAAGGGGATCACCAGGTAAGGTGATAAACAGTTATTCCTCTGTGCCCCGTGAGGTACACTGCAAATTGCACAACTGTGAACTGAGTATTTTATACTAAACTGAAAAGTTAATATGAAAAAATAGAAAAGGGAAATTTTTTATTCAGAGGGTGGGGGATCCTTGGCACAGCTGCCCAGAGAAGCCTCATCCCAGAGGTGCTCAAGGCCAGGTTGGATGGGGCCCTGAGAGCCTGAGCTGCTGGGTGGCAGCCCTGCCCATGGCACAGGGTTGGGGCTTGGTGGGCTGGGTGGACTTTGGTCCCTTCCAACCCAAACCATTCTATGATTCAGTGATTCTATGATTACTGGATGACACTGTGATATATTGCCAGAATAAACCACAGAATAAATTAAAGAGCAGAAATGCCAGCTAGTGTAGGGGAAAAAAAATAAAAAATAAAAAAAAAAATTGAAACAATAAAAACCCTACCTCATCAAGAAAGTTTGATTATACAAAACTACTTACATCCAGCAATTGAGCAGAAATGAAATGCCACTAAGTGCACTTTGCACTGCATATATACTGGTTGTAATATCCCAGTAGGCACAAGGACATTTTAGACTGAGACTAGGAGATTTTCCTGGCAATAGTTTTTTTCAGTGTTGTCCCCCATTCAGCATCAGCTGCAGCAGTGCTTAGAAACTCCCAAGACATGGCACAAAATAAATATTGCACTTTGCTACAGATGGTATTTCTTTCCCATTGAAACACTAGGAATTTACAGGCTTGTTACTATGCACTTCAAGTTAAGAAATGCAGTTCATTGTCGTTAACATTATATAAAAGACACCTTTCACTAACTTTAAGCTATTCAGTCCTGGCAACTAGATCCATTCAGTGAAAAGGCTACTATTCTGTGTCTAATCACAAAGCAGAGACAAAAGCTCCCACCTCAGCAGGCAGATAAAAGGAATAACCCACCATCTATAAATACAGAATGCTTCTGACTAAAATCAGCCATCCCAATTTTTTCATGCTTAATCACTTTTGGAAGAATCACAAGGGTTGCTGTAATGTTTTCCTTTGGCAAGCATCTTCAGTTAGTTTTCTCAGTGGGTTGAGGTAGTGGCTCTACCTGTTTGCAGGTACAATAAATGAACAGATGCACACAACTATTCTTCAGCTGTTAGAAGCCAAGTATCTCTGGCCATTTCTTTTCAGAGTATGCTGTGACAGCATGCTGTCAGTTTAATATCACTGCTGATAGCACCAGACCCACCTTTGATCTGAAACACTAAATTCCCTACATCAGAGCAAAGACATCAGAGCAAAGCTTTGTATGGCTGCAAATATGAAGAGAACTGCACCTGGTTAAAGCCACCTCAGCTAGGAAACAAACATTTCTGTAATGTGTACACGTGTGAGCAGAGATTTTTGTCACTTTTCAGGCTACTTCTCTAATCAAGTTCTTGGTGCCATGCAGCTATGTCTGTCTACATGATTTTAAAACAGTATTTAAGCAATTAACCAAACTGGAGGGGTATTACAGCTTGTAGAACAAGGTACTACATTTCAGTTTAGCCACAAGTCACTACCGTCTCTGTGAGATACCTACAACTGCCTCCTGATATGAATTCAGAACATGAATGCTATGAAATCTGAATCAATTCCTGGAAAATTCTCTCAATTAAAATAAGAGATTAGAGAAACCAGCATAATTCACAGCATCTTAAAGCTATACAGCTTTCTTAAAGCTAAAGTTATGAATCCCATTTAATTCCTAGTAGCAGCTTCCTGTGCTACTATTTGCAGTTACGTCTTTGAGATCTAATGCTTATGTTTAAGTCCCACTCTATAAAATATTTGACTGTTTGAAAAAAAAAAAAACCCAATGACATAATGATCAAAAACCAGTCAACTGAAGTTATTCAATGCAGAACTGGAAACAGTGGCAAATTCAAAATGAAAGTGATGGAAATTTTTCTCTAAGATAAATAGAAGTTTCTATTAAGCTCCCATCTCAATCTAAACATTAGTCTCATTTGGACATATAGCATTTTTACAATTTGTATTCCCCTGAAATATCCTCAGATACTGGATAGAATATTCACATTAGAACTAATTACATCTATCTATCTATCAGAACTAAGCAGATCTATCCGATCTTCACAACTCTTAACATTCACAATGCAACACTAGTATATGCATTGAGGTTGTGAGCATCTTTTTTTTATTGAACACCATATATTTTGGTTTCCTAGAGTGTTGTTTAAAAACACATAAGCCACTTGGGTCAATCAGATTTAATTTAATAAAGAATTTCAGCCAGAAACTTACGGTAGCTTTGTTGAAGATATACCGTAGCCTGTGAGATTTCTAGGGGTGAAGTAATGCCAGTGTTTGTGTAAAAATCCATATTCACATTTGTTTCAATTCTAGTATATGTTTTGAAGACATCTGCAAGCAGTTACAATTAAGACTGTATATATAAGGTATACTGCAGTACTCAGTGATCAAACTTATTTTCAACATACATTTCTGCCATGTGGCAACACAGTATTTTTAAGTGAGACTGACTGTCACACCTTTCAGATAACCTTTTACCTGTTTTAAAAAAAAAAAGCTTCCATTCATCCCCAGTAGATTAATTAATTGTCATTTTCTTTGAACATTTTGCTCAGCTGTTCCACTAGTGCTACAAGCTCAGGGTTTCCCCCAAGTGATTCGATTTGTTTATAGGCTTCAGATTCAAGCTCTTTCAGTGTATTCCGAGTGTACTCAAATGAACCCACGTTTTCGAGGTAATGCACGCAGTATTTTTTTATATCTATGTTTTCTGTCCTTTGACGTAAAATGTTTTGCACCTGTGTACTTTCAGGTTTTGACCAAATTGCATGAATAGTTGGGAATGAGAACTTGCCCTCAGTTAAATCTTCACAAAAACTCTTGTTTTCACTATATTCTTTGGAGTGCAAGTTGGCATAGTCATCTCTTATTTGGAAGAAGAGACCAAGTGTGTTAAGAAGTGGTTTTAAGTCTTTCTTATAATTTGAGAAGAGCTGCATGAGGCCTACAGCTAATCCAAAGAGACCGCCTGTCTTTTGCAGTACCATAGCTTTGTATTCAGCTTCTGTAGGGCAGGTGTAAGTATCCCTCCAGTAAATGTCCAAGCCTTGACCTTTATGGAGTTCCAGTAGCTGACGAGTAAAAACTTTAACAGCATCTGGGTGATCAAGGGTTAAAACCTTCTCTAAGCCAAGGAAATAAACATAATTAGCACAGTTGATTACAGATGGAATTCCATAGATACTGTGTGCCACTGGAAAGCCCCGTCGTAGCTTTGAGTTATCTTCAATATCATCCACAAGTAGGCTTGCATTGTGTAACATCTCTGTCACTTCAATGATAACCTATTACAAGAAGAGAAAATGATTATCTGCATTTCTTTCCAGCGAACTATCTAGCATTCAGTAACCACTATCCAAAAGGTTAAAACCTGAAACCCAGCAATCTAATTGTTTGCTTGCCCATGACTCTGAGAGCAAACTATTTGAGCGCTAATTACTCAGCTTTGAGATAGAAGTGAGGCCTACTTCAACTTGTAAAGATACTGCTGTCTATTGATTTTAAAATCATGAAGGATAGAGTGCTTATAAAAAGCGACACTGCAATACCTACTTTTCTGAATATTGATTTAGTCCGTTATGTCATTCCCAATACTGTCAGGAAAGTTCATCATTAGATAAGCCTATTCTAGCATTTCTCATTAGCCTATTTCGTATCACTTAGTTTGTGAACTCCTACAGTTTCCGGATATTTAAGGTTGAATTGAAATAACTTAAGATATGCTTCATGACTACAAATTACCTCATGAACTTTCATTAAAGACAGCATCAAAAATATTTTAGAGTTGAAAGCGAGGAGAGAGGAAGTTCAGACAGCAGAAAAAAAACCTTATGTTCTAGAAGACAACAGGAAGTTGTCTGAGGAAGTGAGAAAACTGCACTTCATAATGAAAGCAGCCCGGCATGCTTTCTTAAAAACCAAACCTAATTCACCAGTGGCTGCTGCAATATAACTTTCAACAGACAGATTTTGCTACTTGAGCACTACAAAGTATCACACTTAGCCTATCCTAAAGAGGACTCCTTCACAAGCACCAATGGCCTACCTGATCATTAATGAAATTATTTAGAGATCAGGTGGGTGTCAAGAAAAAAACAATTAGTTATTTTGATTCTCTACATTACCTTGGATACAGAGAATCTTTTGCACCCTAAGTATACAGTTTGGTGTGACTGTAGTCTAGTCAAAAGGAAAATTTTGCATTTCAAAAGCCAGAGTGTTTGAACGCACAGCCATGCATCTTGCATAGATTTGTCCAGGAGAAAAAGAAAAGGAAAGGATTATTCTCAGTAAAGTGCTTCACACTAGGTAATAAGGGCACTAAACTGTAGAAGTCTGCCATTTAAGGCCCAGAACAAGAAGTGGTTTATAAAGGTTTAAATGTTCACTTGACTCCTGGCTTTGATATTCTTGTATCAAAATCATATGACTTTGTTCTCAGTCAGTGTATTTGTAGGGCTTACAAAGTAACTGTTTAGCTTTTTTTTGCAAGTCACTGAAAACTTATTCCCATTGTTATTAACTGAAGCGAGTAACAATACTAGTTGCTCCTTCTACCACTTAGAAGGTTGAGCTTAAGTAGAAAGCATGTAACCATTCTACTTCAGACAAGTCACTGAAATTGTAACTTCAGTATTTAACCATAACTTCAGTGCAAAGCTGTGGCTATTTTCCTTAAGTTGTGCTTTAAGGTACTCAGGAATGATGAAAATGATCAGAAGTCTTAAGTACATTACACTAAGAACAATCTGTTGCTGACAATCTTGAAAGAAAGAAAAGAGCCTTGTAAAAATAATTAGTGAGTACCTGTATTTTATCTTCTGGAACATTAAGCCAGTGATTGAAGGCTTGTGACAGCTTGGTTCTTACTTGCTTACCTACAATTAAAAAAAAATAAAAGAAGAAATCAAAGTCCAGTATTAAATGCAACAGTTTATCTTAACAGCTGTAACTAATTTGAGACCAATAAGCTGCTAAAAGCATGACCACTTCAAAGGGCAAAATACATTAAAGCCAGATTGTAGCTTCTTTCCTCATTGTATAAGCCGTAGAATTGAAGTTGCTGATAGCTGCAAACATTTCACAGTAATACACAAACAATGATATAAAAACGTGTATTCACATGTTATTGCAATTAGTCTTGGCAATTTAGTTAGCCAATTTAGTTAGATCCTGATTCTGTTGGTAACCTCTACAAATAGATTTACTGCCTCTGAAAGCAAGTCCTAATTTGTTTGGCAGAGAAAACTTTCCTCCTGTTTCAGAGGAAAGAAGATTATAAATCCAAATTTAGTGTTGAAACAAGTGTTAAAACAAGTGTTAAAATTCAATCTAGATACATTTTACCTGGAGGAGGTGATTTTAATTCAAGTTATCCTATAAATTATTGATGCCAGCTTTCTTTAGTACAGCGAGGGGTCACATACAAGTATTCATTTAGTGTGTCTATTGATGATCAATAGGAAATTGTTCAATAAAGTCACCTCCTGTGCAGCTCTGAACTTCAACTCAGCTGAGTTTAATATCTTCTATTAACAGCAAAACAGACTTAGACAGAGTTCTGCATCCTTAGCTCATCTCAATGAGCCACTTAAAAGCTATTACAAACAAACCTCAGAGCAGTGCAACCTATCTACTGGGTTCCATATTACTCAAGACCTACTGAGAGACATAACTGAAGAATGATTCTGTAATATTAGTTCTCACGTTAATGATGCCACCCTGCCGTAGCACTGAAGAAGTTTCAACATTTGAATGCCTCCCTGTGTATTCTCTCTATTGCTCTGTGATTAGACATACAGAATGGAAAAATAAACATGGATAGATTAAATTTGATAAATTGTGGAAAAGAACAGGATTTATCCTTATTAAGTCACCAGCAGGTAAGCTGGTGGTAAGATTTGTGGTTTGGGTTCTACAGTGGAGGTGGTAATCTTCCTCAGTTGCTCAAAGGGCTTCAATTGTTGCTCAGTCTCAAAGATTTCCATTACTTCCTTTCACCACCATCTTTTGGTTTTCATCAGAAGATACCAATGAAAAGGCATCTCTTTTCTGACAGCTCTATCTTCTGGCTCTGCCATATGGGAAGGGGCATTCTTACCTGGACATACCTGTCTGTGGCTAGGTGTTTGTTTTGTTTTTGTTGTTTTTTTTTTTTTATCTGTAGAAGCTTAGGTTTAAACATTTTTTTCTGCTGGACAGACGGATTGTTATGTCTCTGAAACAGCATGGCATAGCTTAAGTCACCTGTATCGGGCTTATTCTCTATCAGTACAGTATGCATTTGGTTCTCAGGTCGGTTTTCCTTTTTTCTTTTTTTTTTTTTTAAACAACAACAACAAAACCTGTGCATTTTAATCACGAATTCACTGATTTAAAAGTTCATCATTTTAACATGGGCAACCAGGGCTCAAGTTCAAATACAAAATTAGAATGGCACCCAAGATTTTAAAAGCTCTCACATTAGCTAAGTGCCACCACTATTTCAAGTTACTTCTTTCTGACAACAGCTTCTGCAAATGCCAAAGTTCAGATTTTTTTTTACCCACTATGTGGGCAGATCAGATTTTGGCCAAATCTGTTCCCTGACCAGACTTGCTACACAGTCATTACCACCAAATACTGCACAAACCAGGGCAGGAATGTCCTGCAGAGGTTTTTGTTTTTTATTTCCTTCTAATAATAATTGCATGAGTTAACTGAAGAGAAAATAATCCCTCAAAATACTGAAAACAACTGTTACAAACACATGCCAAGCTGCATGGCTTGATAAATATAAAAGAATAATTCAGTAAGTCCATGAAGAAAATTAGTCACAGATAATGTCATATTACAGATGTACATACCTTATCTACAGCCATTTACATACTTCTAAATTACATTGATAAAAACAATCACAATAAAAAAACAGGCTGCTAATATTTTTTGAAATGTATTTACTAGAAAATAAGCTTACAGAAATGCTACAAGTTCAGTAACAAGAGTTATTTCATCATGAAGTACGTAAGTACTAGCATATAATCTAAATGGACTCTTAATATGCACAGTGGATTTTGCCATTTAGTTTCTTAGTACAGACAGCATTTGAATTGTTAGACTTGTCTACCTTGAACACCAAGGCTGTCTAGACAAAGGCTATTTATGGAAAAACCACTATCTGTACAATAAAACATTCATCTCTACTTTTATAGGTGCAGATTTGCTTGTGTGAGCCCTGTTACTGCTTCACAAATGATGCTGTATCTTGTTCTGAAGTCAATCCTACCACGTCTATTTGATATTAAAGCAATTTTCATATGCATGTTTTATGTCTACAGTCACACTATGATGGCAGCAGATCAGATCTTTTTAACATTGGTCTTAGAAGACTAGATGCATTGGTACTCCGTTCCTTTACTTCTGCTTCCATCCCTAAAACCCTAAATTATCCAAGACACAGCCCACAGATGTTATGATAAAATTAAAGGATTAGGACTTAACACTACCAGAATAATTCACTTTTTCTTCTCTGTTCCGTGTCACTACACTGTTGACTAGTCAAAGGAGAGTACTGTAAAACTGAAGACTATCAAGATCTAACTTCCAAAATTGGGAGCTCTGCCTCCTGTACAGTCATAATCATAGACATTACTGAAACAAACTCCTAACAAAGTTATGCAGAATGCAGTCAGTTTGATCTGCTGAGGATCCCAACAGTACCATCCTCAAGCAACAACTACACAAAACTTGTCTTCTCATTAGCAAAGCTGGGTGGACAAGCAAGGTAAGAGAAAATAGAATTTAACAGATTCACTCTGACAAAAATTCTCCATAGGGATAAAATATAAATTTCTTTTTCTTGAAACAAAGATCCACTTAGTGATGTCACTCTGAGGACAATCCAACCTCTTTAGACAGAGAAGAGCTACTTCTCTGTAGTGAGACTGACTACACGTGTGTATGTATAATTTTCTCCTGACAGAGTTCTGACCTCCTGCTCTGAACAGGCTGCTGATCAGTATTTCTTTGCTCACACTGCATTAATGTGACCTCAAACTATGCCCTTCAGGCAGAACCCCACTTAGATTGAGGGTGTGTAAAAGGGATAGAACAGCATGAGAAAGAGCAGAGGGACCATCAACCCAGCCCTCATTAGAGCCTCGCTAAGCTAATTCAACTCATTACTGCAGCAGAAAACTGCCTGCTTTTTGCTAGGTTAGCTTTCTGCCAGCTTTATGTACTGTATCAGCTTATGAAGTGGGTCTGCCTGAGTTAGTGCAGGGTGAGCAGCAGACGCTGAGAGACATGAGAAAGAGACCCTTCTGGATGAAGCAAGCCATTATATTACCTCAGTTTTATTGTACACTTTCATATTTAGCTCTGCCATCTGATGGGTTGGGGCTAAACAGGTCTGTGCAGACCTTCCCACACAGCTATGGGAATGCTACTGCCATCCTATGTGAACTGCAGGCCCACACTTTCAAATCTAGGCAGCCACTTGGGACAGACTGAGGTTGCTGCAGGACTGTCTATGTTAACCCCACACCCTGTTCAAAATAAGGTTAACTAGTCCAGCACTCAGATTCTGCTTTTTGCCTTGTTCTGTCCTCTCAGGATCCCCAATTCCACCATCCCACAGTCACATTGGACACAGTTGCTTCCACCCTTCACATGCCAACTAATTCTTCCATGTTTGGAGGTGTGAAGTCCAGCAAAACACCTTCCCTCATCAACTCCTTGATCCTGTGTTAAGGAGTGGTCCTCAATGCATTCCCGAAAACTGACTGGATTGCCTGTGCCCTGCTGTGTTGCTGCTTCTACTAGATACTAAGGCACTCAGCTATTCCACATCCAATATCACAATTGAATCACAGCCCTACAATTACATGCAGATCTCTAATTCCTCCTGTTTATTCTCTACAGTCACTTCGCAGAGGTATTTAGGCCTGCAGATTCCCCAGGATGTGTGAGAACTTCCCCATCATGTTGCCCTGTTACTGTTTCCTTATTTTAGTGCATACATCTGAGGTGGGTTCCCTCCAGCTGTATTCATTAGAGGATCTCTTGTCTCCATCAGCCTATATCTTTTTCTTGCCAATTCACCATTTCCTTACTTTACTTTGGGTATTGTCACTTTTAATGTAAGTCTCTCTCTCCTCACCACACTGATCAGCCTGTTGGCAGACATATTTCTGGTTTAACTCGGGTTGGTGGAACCCATCTTCTCCTAGGAGTTCTTAATCCACATAGACAGTCCCTTAGTCATAAAACCCAAATCCCCACTGCTGATATCAGCTGGGCAACTAACTGGTTATTGACATGAATGATCTGTTTATTCCTTTTCATAGTAAGGAAGGGCTCAAGAAAGGAAAGATCAAGAAAAAACACTTGGTCTCCTGTGCCTTTGTCTCTCACTCCAAAAGCCATTTAATTGTGTTTGAAAAGCTCCAGGTAACCCTTGGCTATATCCATTAGTCTTAAGTGAAAGAGGTATAGGGTTCGGTTGCCTGATGATGAAACACACTGTGTGTTGTCTCTCCAGAACATCCCTCTACATCCCAAGAAGCAGCAAGCCTCCTTAAAATAACAGCTCAGATGGTGGCCTCTGTTCCCTGCAGGAAGCAGCCTCCCCACTACTATCACTTGATGTTCACCCCGGTGCTGTGCTGTACAGAGCTTCTAGCCATTTGCTTTCTTTCAGTGAAATGAACTTATCTGACAAATGTACATATGCATGAGATACAGGAATCTCCCTTGGTGTCAGAAGCCATGAGCTCCCACCCTTCACCACTGTGGAGGTCTCCATTTTGCAGCCTGACATGCATTCTTCCTGCCCCTCTTTCAATATACACAGGGCTCTTGAATCTTCAGGCTCTTGCAGAAGATCCTGTCTATCTCCTTCTAGTTATTTCTGATGCTGTGCAGCCTGCTACACCTCTTCCACTTGTCTTTTTGCTTGGTGGAAGCAAGTTTTCCACCACTGCACCATTTGGAGGGCAAGGACACTACTTTCTCCTGGTCTAGTGGTATGCCCGAGCATCCCAGCAGTGCAAGAACTGAAAGCTGCCATCACTCTCAGGAACTTGGCCTAAACTGAAGGCTCTGATGTGCAAGATGCAGTTGCTCCAGTGGTAGGGATCATGCCCTGTGGCACATCACCACCATTCTTAAGCATATTTGTGCTGCCCTCAGTTTCCAGTCCCCTTCTGTGTGAACTGAGCACCTACATCTGTTGGCTGCCCCCCATCTGTATTCTCTTTTAAAAGAAATAACAGGAGTGAGGAAACAAATGTACATGCTATTAAAATAATAATGTTTCAGTAATTATAAGAGAAACACCACCTTAATCTTGCTACTGCTGCTTCATAACTCCTTCACCGAACTGGTCAAGTTCAACAACTCAGCAGAAAAAGCTTAAAAAACAAAAGCCAGTCTCAATTGTTTAGCAAGCTAAACAAGCCTGAAGCAATACATGTGAAAGGGAAAATGCAGAGTTGTGAATAGGATCAGAATCTACTCTTTTCAATTACAAGCTGTTGATCCAGTCACTTTTACTGCAACTGAAAGCCCATATACTCGTTAGTGCTGCATAAACAGTTACTGCTGTTAACTCAGCTTCTTGGAGATGAAAGATGCTTCATCATCTTGTGAATTTACAAGACAAACCACATTATTGGCATTTCTGAAATGTATTGCTGCTTATTGTACTTTGTTTACCCATATAAATGACAGAAAACCATACAGAGCAGAACACTGGTACAAACTACTATGGCAATTTTATGTACAGAATGATTTTAGTATTTGGTACCTTCTGAAACAGTAAGTTCTATTAATTTTAATGTTTATTCTGTCACTAGCATACTGGCAGTTAAAACAGCAACAACCTAAAAAACATTCCTTAAGCCTACTAGTTCTTCTAGCCAAAAGTCAAAGAAACAGATAAGCTTAGTGCTTAAGTATCAGCCCCAAAAAGTTACCATTGAAGTCCTACTGGATTAACATCAAACAGTCAACCTCCTCTTGTATCAGGGGATTAACCCTTAGCATTGTTATAGAAGTTCGCATTCTCACACTACAAGCAAGGTTAGGAGACACTTAAGTTTCTAAGCAGTTTCAATGATACCCAATTCCTCTTTATGTAAGAATTTGATATGCATCTAACTTCATTCAAATTCTCATAGGTTATTAAAGCACTTAAGAGATTTTGTTTTTTAACGAGTCCTACAAGATAAGCAACTGCTTATTTGACTCACAGCCAAGCTTGCTCTAAAAGCCCTTCGGATGTGCCTACCCTTGTGTCACCTCACTGACAGGACAAAAGATGAGCTATTCTGTCAGGCAAGTTTTTTAACAGGTTAGGTGATTGATAGCTAATCATTTGGTCAGTGAGCTGAGAACTGGCACAAGAAGCAAGAGAATACCACCAGAAGAAAGATGGAACAAAATTGCCCTTTTCAGCAAAGACTTGTTAGATTTGCTCAGGCATTTAATCTGGGCTCCACCCTAATTATGAACTGCTAGCATATGCCTCATTTTCCCTTCATCAAGCTTTGGTGTTTATACTGATGCCAAGGCTCACACAAGTAGCTGACTCCTACTGACCTGTGCTTGGCATAGCTGACTTGGGGCAAAGCTGGTGTTTCGAAACATAGTAAACATCCAGCTGTATGATTAAGTACAAGTGCTCCACAGGCACACAACTTTTACCCACCTAACTTAAAAGAATTCTTCTGTTCTGAATCACGCCAATATTTCTGCATGGAGAAAAGTGTATCTTATCTTTCACCTTCTCAAAGCATAAATTAAATTAACAAGAGATCAACATGCTTCAGCGGACAATCAGATTTAGGATACTTGAGCTTACACTGATGGTCTGTATAAGATAAGCCATTAGGATACAGTGATTAAGGCTGAACACACAGTGAAGTACAGAAATTTAGCCAGAGGAGTCAAGATGGGAAGGTTAAACTAAATGCATAATATAAAGTGAAAGCTAATTGAAGAGCTATTAGTCAAGGACTTATACCTACAGAAATTGTTTTTTTTTTGGTTTTGTTTGTTTTTGGGGGGATTCGCTTTGTCTATTATATATTTGCTTCATTGCTAGTCACTACAGTTTTTTATTTTTTAAAAAACAGCTGAAGACACAGAGGTGCTGTGATACATCTTTGCTTGTATTAGATAAACTAACCAAACAAATAATACCCTTATAGACTGTGTTGGAGAAAAGTAAATTTCTACAAGACCAGATCTTAGAAAGCCCCTCGGAATATCACAGAATCATTCTCAAATACATTTTCAAGAAAAAGCCACCATCCAGTTTAAATGCTGTCAGCAAATGGCAAACAAATTTCCTGGCATTAAAAAATGAGCGCTACTGCCAAATTCTCTCCTCCTCTAGGTTTTCAACGACAGTGCTTGGCAGCACAAAGTGCCAAGTCCACTGCAATCTCTAATGTAGACAAAATGAAACTGATATTTGTAGAGATGATTAATAAATTTCACTACACACAGGTTATAGACCCACCATGCCGATACAAATATCAGTCTAAGTTTTGCTGCAGATGTACGAAGCCACTTAGCACTGTACCTGTGATTTGTTATGCTATTTATCTTGATAAGTCTTCTATCCCAAGTCACATATAATTCTGGTCAGTTATATTCCTTAATAACTACCAAATATTATATATCCATTAACTCTACCAGTATTCAGTACAAGTTGGATAGAAGTAAATGATGCAACAGCTCCCACAGCAAAGTTACTTCTATAGTCACTGATAGCCTGTGTGGTCTTCCTTATGCCTTAGGTGTACAAACAAGAGTCACAGCAAACAATATGACTATTTGTTCAGCAAAGAGGCTTGTGAGTGGCACATGCATACAGAAATTTTCTATCAAACTGCCTCCTGCATTCTGCTGAAATAGCTATTATTCAAGAGGGAAAACTTCATCTCAGTGTGTTTCTAATGACCTGATACAACACAAGGACCAACAAGTCAAGTAATCCAGGACAGTCAAAATTGACAATACTAAAACCTGGCTCTATACTCATCAGGGAGAAGAAATAACACAGACTATTTAAAACATACATACAGCCCATCAACTCCAGCACAGCAAGCTGTTAAGTGTTGGGCTGTGATGTTTCATCCTTCAGGAATAGCATCAGGTCTTCAGTACTTGCCTGTATCTGTTTCAGCAAGTAGCAAGTCTCTGAATGGAGGGCAGAGCAACTGAAAGAAAACTATCTGCACTGCAGCAGACAAACGCAATTGCTACTGTATGAATCACACCAGAAGAAGAGAAGAAAGAACAACAAAATATAGAAAAATGTTAGCTTTAATTACTCTCAAACCTAAGTATCAAGAATGGATTGTATTTCCTAGGACAAAGATGTTATAAAAGTAACGTTGATATTTTGAAGTAACACAGTAAAAATAAACTTGCCTGGTAGTTGAAGTAAATACTGGTATGGCTCTAGAATTCTTTTAGATGTTTCATCCATCCCATCCATGTCTCTTTCATAAAAGGTAGTTTGCTGTTAAAGAAAGTGTTATTAACACTGTTTAGATTGGGAAAAAACAAACAAACAAACAAACAAAAAAACAACCAAGCAGTGAAGTAACAAAATAGAGGAGCAAGCATTCAGGAAAAAAAAATTAGCTGACCTCCATGCTAGGTGTAAGTGCTGCAGTTTTAAATCCAATGGTGACTACAAAATTCACTGTAAAAGAAAAGTTTTATGGATGGCACTTAGACAAGAAGCAAACATATGTTTTAAGTACACGTTTCTTTATTTATTCATGAGTAGTTTAAATCAACTCCTAGACTTTTATCTATATCAGAGGGCTTAGATGAAAGAGAAACATTTAAAACATTAGCATTCACAACAATCGAGCCACACTGTAGATCCGTAGAAAAGACACTCAGCACATTCAAACCTTGCATGATTAATCTGATTAGACCTCCCTAAACGCTGTACCCATACAAAAGTGCAGATAACTAAGAGCAGAAAATATACCTTTACACCAATGCAGCCTAAGCAAGTTGAAAAAAGCTTGAGCCTTCTGACAGCATTCTTCAGTCCTCTTTTAGAAGACAGTAATGTATTGTTTCCTTGCCACTGCTTAAGCACACAGTCATCTTTACATACGCTACATACATTGTATTCTTGCAATAAATCTTTTAGGATCCATTCCCTCCATAGCTCAACAATTATGTATTGATTATTTTTCAGTTCACATACCCTTTGATCATCCATATTTGCATTTTTTTCAGACTGCTTTCTATAATAGATTTTTTCCTCCTTTCACCTCTAGCCTTCCTTGCTGCACTGCAGATACAGCAGCTCAAAACAATTCTTCTAATGTCATTTTAAGACAGGAACTGCAGCAGCAGCACAGAGGCTCATGCTACTTCAGCAGTGCTTCTCAGCTGTTGTGCTCCCTCCTCCCCTGAGCTATTCAATAGTTTTATAAATTATCAATAAAACTAACTAATTTAAAGTGAGTTTGTAAGCATGGACTGATGCATTTTTAATCTAGGAACATTAAGGGGAGTGGCTGACATGAAATATACTGTGTTCCACATTTGCTCAAAGTAATCCAGCAATAGTTTCCCACAGACAACTCAAAGGAGCGGTATTAAGATCATCGCTTCCCCTTAAGCTACCTGGACAAACTGGACCTTCCCCTGCCAACAACAGCTCAGTCACTTCCTGCTAACTCCTATTCCCACCTTCTGGAGCCATAGATATTTGTAACAGTCCAAACTTGGGAACTGATCTTCATCAGTAATTATTTTTGAAGCTTAGGTTTGGATAATTTTTTATTAGCTTCACTGCATATGCTAATGCAAATCATCAGCACTTTAGGGGCAAGAGAGGGTATTTAAGCAAACATGGCTGCCACTGAAATGCAGGCATTTCCAGAAAGGTGTAGTCATGCATGCATGGTTTCTTAGCAGTAATGTCACAACAAGCGGTGCACCTTTCCATCGCTTATCCCATGATATTCCAGCACAACTAGCTGTCAGAATCTGAACCAGGTTTGTATGACATCCTTAGCTCCCTGTTGTTATTAGTAGAGCTTCAGAGATTGGAATTGCCTTTAAGCCAGGACTGCCTCTGAGAGCATCAGCTGTAAAACCCTTATGTACTGAGGATAATCTCAACAGACTTCAGTGAGGAAGTGAAATAATAAGACTATCACAGTCCACCAACTGATTTTTTAAGGAGAAAGAGGAACTTATACAGATGGATGTGCAGAGATGCTATCAAGTTGGCCACTTTCCTGTGACTATTACACGTCAAAAAGCCACACAGTTCAAAATTGAAAGTGCTTAGCTATCCAGCAGCACTGGGAGGAGATGGTGGAGCGGGAATGTCTTCTCTGTACCAGTTTCCCACTGATACAGAACCTACAGGCATTCAGTGAGCATGCACTGCAACATAAGAAAATGAAGACGACTGTAATCTGAAGATTACTTCCCATCCACTCTGACAAGTTGCCTGAAAGTAAATCCTAAAATTCTTTCTATCCCCTGCAATTCATTAGGAGGCTTCTCCCCTGTCTGTAGGTAACTAATGCACTACTCAAATCCTCAAACAGCTGGAAATTGGCCAGTATTACACCACATCAAATCATCTTTTTATCTTTTGGTGCCAAACTAATAGGAATGCTCCAAAATGCTGCTTATCTTAAAAAACAAACAAACCAATAAAAAACTTCTCTAGGCACTTTTCCACAAATGCCTTTTTTTTTTTTTTTTAATAAAGCAGAAAAGCAAGATATGTTATGGCTGTGCTTCATTTTTATTTTTCTTAAATAATGTAAAAAAAGCTCTAAAAATGATGGCAGTTTCCCGGGAATCACTGCAGCTAAGCTCTCCCAGGCTGCTTCACTGTGCCTCTAAATGAAGTACCTAACCTCTGCAAAGAAAGAGTGCAGTGCTTCATGAGGCACCTACATGGCTAATAGACTCATCAAAACTGGAATACTGGCCAGAGTTGCCCCAAAACTTATAGAAGAAAGAGATGCTTGACAAAAGATATCTAAATGAAGGTGCTTATCTAGAATACCACGAAGTATGAGAGTAATATTGTGGTAACTTTTCACAAAGAGTCACATTTGACACACCTTGGGAAATGTGTGATATGTGAGTTATCCAACCCTTGATATCAAGGGTTTTCTGATGTGGTTACTGAGTGATTTACTTCAGAAACTCAGCTGCTGCAGAGAGCTTTCTCACAAATATTTCAGTTAATGCCTCGCAACTTCCCTGTCACCAGGAAGAAGTCAGGCAATAAGTAAAAGGGAATATAAGCTGTTTGTCAGTTGTATGGAAACTGCTGAGTCACAGCCTGAACCACAGATTGATCACCTGAGGCAAAGACTGGATCAGCCCTGGGAGCACAGGTGAAGGCAATTCAGCTGTGTGACCAGAAGGGGTGGAGCCTGACTGCACCTCTCTTAGACCTCATTTAAGGGCTGACTGCCAGCAGGGAAGGATCTCTTTCTAGAGATCCCTCCTTTGTGGAGGCTTTCACTGCGATCTTGAATTTCCCTGCACAATCCACGATGAGACAGTTTTGGACTTGCTCTGAAAGCTGGATGCTCACAAGTCCATGGGGCTGGATGGATTGCACCCTGGTGTGCTGAGGGAGTTGGTGGATGTGGTTGCCAAGCCACTCTCCACCATTTTTAGGCAGTCCTGCCTACCTAGGGATGTCCCAGGGAATTAGAGACTGGCAAATGTGATGCCCATCTTCAAAGAGGGCTGGAAACATGATGCTGGTAGCTACAGACCTATCAGACTCACCTCAGTGCCTGGGAAGGTTATGCAATGGATAATCTTGAATGCCATCATGGACCAGTTAAAGGTCAACCAGGGAATCAGGGCCCAGTCGGCATAGGTTTATGAATGGTATGTCCTGTCTGACAAACGATTTCATTCTATGACAAGGTGACCCACTTAGTGAATGAGGGTAAGGCTGTCGATGTGGTCTACCTGTGCAGTGTCTGATGCACGGACTCAAATGCGAATGATCCAAATTGTTTATTACAAGTTCTCACATCACTTATATACCTTCACCAGTTTTCTTTTTCTAGCTTTCCCATCCGTCCCTACAACTTTCTCATCCACCTTTATGTGTAGAGCATTCTACAAAAGACTCTTCAACCGTTCACACAGGCGCTTATCCAATCAGAGCCGTGAGATGTTCTCTCTTTTTCTAGAGGTGTCCTTGGTTCTTGTGCTGTTTATCTTGCTCCACAGCTTCTGCTCTGAACAGTTTTTCTTGTATTCCCACAGACCTGGACTTCAGTAAGGCCTTTGATGCTGTCCCCCACAACTTTCTCATGGAGAAGCTGGCTGCCCATGGTCTGGATGGGCATATACTCTGCTGAGTGAAACGCTGGCTGGATGGCCAGGCCCGAAGAGTTGTGGTCAATGGAGTTAAATTGGTGGCCAGTCACGAGTGGTGTCCCCCAAGGCTTGGTACTGGGACTGCTTCTATTTAACATCTTTATTAATGATCTTGATGAAGAGATTGAGTGCACCCTCAAGTAAGTTTGCAGATGACACCAAGCAGGGGGGGAGTGTTGATCTGCCTGAGGGGAGAAGGGCACTGCAAAGGTACCTGGATAGACTGGATCAATGGGCCAAGGCAAACTGTACGAAGTTTCATAGGGCCAAGTGTCAGGTCCTGCATTTTGGTCACAACGACCCTAGGCAACCCTACAGGCTTGGGGAGGAGTGGCTGGAATGCCACCTGATGGAAAGGGACATTGGTGCACTGATGGGCAGTCAGCTGAATATGAGCCAGCAGTGTGCCCAGGTGGCCAAGAAGGCCAATGGCATCTTGGCTTGTTTCAGGAATGGTGTGGTGAGCAGGACTAGGGAAGTCATCCAGCCCCTGCACTCAGCACTGATGAGGCCTTACTTTGAGTACTGCATTCAGTTTGGGCACCTCAGTACAAATAGGACATGGAGGTGCTAGAGCAGGTCCAAAGAAGGGCAGCAAGGCTTGTGAAGGGCTTGGAGAATATGACATATGAGGAGATACTGAAGGAACTGGGGCTGTTTAGTCTGGAGAAGAGGAGGCTGAGGGGAGACCTTATCGCTCTCTTCCAATACCTGAAAGGTGCTTACAATGAGAGTGGGGTTGGTCTCTTCTCACTGGTGACAGGTTGAGGGGAAATGGCCTTAAGTTGCAGCAGGGTAAACTTAGGTTGGATATCAGGAAACACTTTACAGAAAAGGTTGTTAAGCACTGGAATAGGCTTCCCCAGGGAGGTGGTTGAGTCACCATCCCTGGATGTGTTTAAAAACTGTTTGAATGTGGTGCTCAGGGACATGGTTTAGCAGAGGGTTGTTAGTTAGGGTAGTATGGTTAGGTTGTGGGTGGACTTGATGATTTTTAAGGTCTTTTCCAACCTGAGTGATTCTATGATCTGAATACAGGTGAGCATTCCTTCTGTTTGTTTCTTTTCATTTCTCCACAATATTCTTTCAAATTGTAACATTAGTGAAACTAGAAGAAATAATTGCACCTATCACAAAAGAAGACACCCAACAACCCCAAACTGAAGCACTCGATGCTGTTCTGCTTAGTTCAATTTCCTTTTGAACTCATACGTGCACTTGCTGTCACGCACTTGCATCATGCACAGCTGAGCTCTTCTTCAGCAGTTCTTCCTTCTTTCCCCTCACACAGCCCAGCTGCTGCACGTATGGGCTCACAGCCACACCTCAGAGCCCACAGCACTGCCCTAAGCTGCAGCAAGCTGTATCTCCAGGCATCTATACAGACTGGAAGGAGTGGTCCTTGAGAGCAGCCCTGCAGAGAAGGACCTGGGGGTCCTGATGGATGAAAAGCTTAACGTGAGCCAGCAGTGTACTCTTGCAGCTCAGAAAACAAACAGTATCCTGGGCTCCATCAGAAGAGGGGTGGCCAGCAGGGACAGGGAGGTGATTGTCCCCCTCTACTCTGCTCTTGTGAGGCCCCATCTGGACTCCTGCATCCAAGTCTGGAGCCCCCAGTACAAGAAAGACAGGGAGCTGTTGGAAAGGGTCCAAACGAGGGCCACGAAGATGATCAGGGGACTCCCTATGAAGACAGGCTGAGGGAGCTGGGCTTGTTCAGCCTGGAGGAAAGAAGGCTGCGGTGTGACCTCATTGCAGCCTTTCAATACCTAAAGGGAGCCTACAAACAGGAGGGGAGTCAACTCTTTGAAAGGGTTGATAAATGCAGGACAAGAGGAAATGGTTCTAAGTTGAGGGAGGGAAGATTTGGGTTGGATGTCAGGGGGAAGTTCTTTACAGAGAGTGGTGAGGTGCTGGAAGAGGCTGCCCAGGGAGGTTGTGGATGCCTCGTACCTGGAGGTGTTCAAGGCCAGGTTGGATGGGGCCCTGGGCAGCCTGGTCTAGTATTAAATGTGGAGGTCATTGGCCCTGCATGTGGCAGGGGGTTGGAGATTCATGATCCTTGAGGTCCCTTCCAACCCTGACCATTCTGTGATCCCTTGGCAAAGGGCGCTGAAGGGAGACAGCAGCACAGGCCTCTGGGACATCGGAGCTTTCCTCAGACTTGGAACCTTGACCCCTGATCAGCAGCAAAGTAATATGAATTCCAAGCTATGCGTCAAGGAACTTCTTGATCTCAGAACTTCATAACACAGCTTTCTCCCATCCCATCCTTCAGACACTCCCACACATCTCATGGGAAGGACGAAATTGGCAGGGCCAAAGGCACACCTAACAAACAGAAAGCGGGCAGCAGCGCCTCAGCAGCTCCAAGCACCGCACAGCCGCACGGGAACCGAAGCGGCGGCGGCGCAGAGCGCCACGGCCCGAAGGCGCAAGCACAGCGCGGCAATAACCGGGCACCGCGCCGCGGCGAGCGGCGCAGAGCGAGACCCGCGCGCACACGGCAGCGGATGCGTATCGTCCTGGGGAGGCTGCGAGGGCTCCTAACCCGAGTTCGGGCAGGACGCCTGCCCTCGCAGCCCGCATTCTCATTCTAATTAGAGCAGCGCTCCCTATCACCCTGTGGGGCAGACAGAGCGGAACCTCACGCAGCTTTAGCGCGCACCGGCGGCAGGGCGGTAATTCGCTTCCTTTTCTGCCACGCGGGGCTGCCCCGAGATGCACGGCCGAGCCGCACGAGTGCCGCCACCGCCATGTTACGCGAACCAGACTGCAGCGCGCGGGGACGCCGCACCACCCCCACCTCCCCCGGCCCCCCCCTTCCCGGGCAGCCCGCCAGCCCCTCCCCGCCGCCCGGCTTCCGCCCGCTAGGGAGGACCGGCCTCGCTGCCGCCGCCGCCGCCGTCCCCCCCAGCCCGGGCGCCTCCCACCCGCCTAGCGGCCAGGCGGCTCGAAAACGCTCCGCCCGCCCCGGCATCGTGGCCGCTCACCTCGCTTTCAACGGCGGCCCGAGCCGCGCCCGCTCCGCTCCGGCAGTAGCAGCAGCGCCGCTCTGCGGGAAGAGCGCCGCCCTCTTCCGCTCCGCCGGGCGCCACCTTCCTCTCTTGGGGGAAAATGCGCCACCGGGGCCGCACCGCGCAGGCGCCGGCCGTGCCTCCTCCCTGAATTAGCATTCGGCCCAGGGCCCGCCCCCTCGCGGCGGCCGCGCGCGGTGTGATCTGGGATACGTAGTCCGCGACAGGCGCCAAATCGCTTCTCCAGCCGGAACGAGCGGCGGTGAAGAACACCATCACCCATGAACCTTTTCGGCGCCGAGTCTCAGTTTCCATAGAAGTGGAGAAAAATGACGTCAGTATTTCCGACACGACAGCCAATAGGATTGAGGAGGGGGCGGGCTCCGAGAGCCGGAGCCCAATGGAGGAGGCGGGGAGAGGGGCGTGGCCCGACTCGTCCGTCCGTCAGTCAGCCGCTCGGTGCGGGAGGGGGAGGGGGACCGAGAGGCTCCGAGCCCAGCAGTCACCGCCGCCGTCGCCGGGTCCGGGCGGGACGGATCGGATCGGCCCCGCCGCGCGCAGCAGTCCGCGAGCAGAGCCGTTACGGAGCGCCGAGCGGGAGCCGAAGCCGGTGTGACGGGGACCCGGAGCCGAGAAGAGGCTTCGCCCCGCACCCTTCGCTCCCCCCCGCCCGGGGTCGGGGAGCAGCGGGCGGGCGCCGCGGAACAAAGGTAACGGCGCGGGGCCGCGGGCAGAGCACCGCTCCCCGCCGGCGGCGAGCGGGAGGCGTCGGGGGGGCGCGGGGCCGGGCCGCGACGGGGCGGGCGGGGGGAGGGGGGCGGTTGTTTTTCTCCTCGCGGCGCGACTGCGGCGGGACGCGGCGGCTCTGGGGCCGACGGAGAGCGATCGGGGCCGCCTGGGCAGCCCCCCCACCCCGCCCGCCTGCACTCACACACTCACACACTCACACTCACACACACTCACGCACGCACGCACCACCGCTCCGTGTCCCCGCTGAGCAGGTCGGGCCCCTCTCTCCCCGCCCCCTCCCGGCCCCGCTCCCTTCTTTTCTTCTTCTTCCTTTTCTTCCCTGCCGCCGCCGCGGCCCTCCCTCCCTCCCTCCTCCCCCCGCCCGGCTCCGGCCCGGAGTTGCGGCTGTTGCTCCCCAACTCCTGCGGCGGGCTCGGCGCTCCCTGTACGTGCGGAGTGGGGGGGGGGAAGGCGCGGGGAGGGGCCGCGGCCGCAGCCCCCACAAAGCGGCTCCCCCCCGGGGGGCCTTCCCGCACAATGGAGGAAGGGCCTCCCTTCCCCGCTCCCCGTCGCAGAGTGCGCGTGTGGAGGGGCCGCGACCCGGGGGGGCCCTTCCCTGCCGCGGGGGAGGCCGGGGGGGGGGGGCCGTTGTTGTGGCAAGTTTCTTCTCCTCTGACAGAAATGGCGGCGGCGGGCGCGGGGGGAGCCGCGCCGTGCGGGAGCGGCCGGGGCGGAGGGAAGGAGGGAGGGGGGACCGGGGAGCGGGGAACGGGGCGGCCCGGGGAGGGCAGGGAGAGCCGCGGGGGCAGCCCCCGGCCCGGTGTTGTACCCCGGTGCGAGCGGCCGGGGGGGGGCCCTCAGCGCTTTGTTTTAAATTCCAGGTCCGGCCTCGGCCGCTCAGCCCCCGCCGAGGGTTTTACCGCAGCCTGAGCTCATCATGAAGGTAACGCGGCCGCTCGTGTTGCGCCGGGAGCGGGGAGGGCGGTGAGGGGGGGGGGAGCGAGCTGCGCGGAGAGGGACCCTCCCGTCTGTCTGCGTCTGTCTGTCTGTCCGGACCCCGGCGCGGGGGGAGCCGCGGCGCGGAGGTGCCGTTCTCTCTCGGCAGCAGCGCTCGGAGCAGAGCGAGGACATGGCTGCCGGGCCGCGCTGCGGGCGGAGCGGGGACGGGCACCCGCCCGAGAGAGAGCGGCGGGGCGGGGGAGTGCCGGGCACGGGGGCTGCACGGGGGCCGCCTCACTTTCTGCTCCTTAATCGGAGTTCTGCTGAACGAACGAGCTCGGTGTCAGCAGGGAAGGGTGCCTGTGAGAGGCTCTCCGCAGTGAAATGATCGCTGTAAGGTGCAGGCGGCTTTCAAACAGGTTCCGGTCTTTTTCTGTGTGCTGCGTGCTATTCACGTGCATCATTGCTGCTCGTTCTGAGCTGTTTATTTCTGGCGCATCCGGCAAATTGTATAGGGAACAAACCACGTTGGTGGGATAGTGCGATTTACTCTGTGTGGGAAAGATTGGTGTACCCCAAAGCAGTGTGTAACAGCTGCGGTTGTTGGGTTGCTGGCATTTTGCTGATGGTGTCTCGCTGCGAATGCTGTTGGTAGCACTGTCACACCGGGACCTGTAATCCAGGTCCGGGTCCTGCTGGGCTGTGGTAAATCTTGTTTCAAAATATCAGAAATCTTAGAATTGTTGCAGGTCTGTGCTACATCGTCTTGTTGGTATTTATTAAAAAAAAGGCAGCCTGTGTGTAGGGTCTTGAGCTGTTGGAGTTGTGCTGCTGTCTGTGAATGAATGTTATGTAAAATATGTGCGTAGAACTCTATTTGCTGCTGGAAATGGGAAGCGGTGCGGATCGTTTTAATTTCTAGATTGATCTGAGCTGCTGAGCAGCAAACTGAGTCTTACTATAGAGCTGTTAAAGGTCCAGCATGCGGGTTTCCTTCCTTTTTTATTTTTTCCACTTTGATGACTCAATGTCAGTATATTTAAAAAAAAAATAATGTTTTAGCAGCACTCCCTATGCTTTTTCTTGAGCGAGCAAGCAGGTCTAAAATCCTGCATGCATCCTCCTCGTTAAAGTAAACTGTTGATGAATGTACACCACCAGGCTGTCAATGGAGTATGATATGGAGCTTTCCAAATGTGGCTCACTGCCTGCTGGGGTTGTAGGAGATGAAAGCAGGAGGCAGCATAGGGAGCTTTTTCTTTTTTTTTTTCCTCCTCGGAAGGAAAAACACTTATTTAAATGACAGCTAAATTTACATACATTTCTAATATTCTTTTTCCATGTAAACAAATCCCACAGTTACCATAGAGATTAGGCTCAGATACTCTGGTTATAGAGCCATATAAATGTAGAGAGCTGGGAGGATGAGGAGGTTGGATTGCGAGTGACAGTACAGAGTGCTCTGTGCAATAGCGATAGCGCCCACTTCAGCCAGAATCACACATGTAGTAGCAAAGATTTGAAGTAGGAAATTCAGAAAGCTGTCAGTAGTTATATATTAAAAATGAAACAAACAAACAACGGCCCCAGCATGTTAATTCTTTGATAAGATTTCTGCTGCTACTGCCTTTTTATTTCTTTTTAAAGATTTCAATGATTTCTGCCAGGGTGTTGGAATGCTGATGTTAAGTCTGCCATTTGTGTGTAGCATTAAATTTCTATATGCTCGAGATAACTGTAAGAGCTTTATTTGCTGTGCCACATAACGTTAAGTGAGGTTAATCTGTAAGTCATTACACTGGAACTTTTTTCACTTGTTACACTGAAACTTTTAATGGAATTGTAGCTCAACAGAAACGTCTAAAATACAGCGGTGTTTCCAAGACTGTTTTTTAAGATCTCAGTAATAATACGGTGCATCATGGCTTAAATCTGTAATTAATTTTCTGAGCTTGCACGGGTATAAGTGAGTCCAATAAGAAGTGTTAAGAGAGAGCCTTAGGAAAGCTACTGGCTTTCGATTGGTGTCACCACAAAGTAACACTGGCTGTACTACACCAGTACTGCAACAGTACAGATACTGTTGAAATAGATGGCTGTGTTTTTGTGTGCATTCATTTTTTAAGGTATTGGCAGCGTATGCCTCAAGGACACTTCGGCATAGAGAGAATGTAACTCTTTAAGACCCAGCTTTACTTGGAGGCTGCTGACTGCATGCTGGCGCAGACTGCAGCACTGTTTGATTCCTGCCGAGGTCATTCTTTCAGGTGCAGAGGTTTTGTATTCCAGCACGTGGAGCAATTAGGACTGTGGTCTGAGTCTGTATCTTTGTCTCTTTGGGTGAACTTGAACAACTCACTTATCTCTACAGAGTCATTTCTTCAATCTACGTAGTATAGACAGAATGTTTATTGTGCTTTGTAAAACACAGTGGGGCATGTTTAGGAAGAGTGCCAAGTCATATTGATGGAAAGCTGTAAGTCACTCCTGCTCTTGTTTCAGAACCCTCTGAGACAGCGGAGGGGTGCTGCTGCCTGCTAAGCGATTACCACCTCCAAAGCCACTGGCATAATTGTTCTCCCCACAGTAACCCAACTTAATCCAAGTAGATAAAGTCCCTTGTATAAATTAGTAACTTTATCCTATTAAGTAGTCCTACCGTGGACTGCAAAGAACATTTGAAGGCGGTCTTAAAATATCTCAAAGTGTATCTTAAAAGGAAATACACAGATCTTGGCATAATTGCACACAGTGCAGTTGTGTAGATCGTGGTTAGAATGATGGTTACAATGATTCGTATTTTATAGTGAGGTTTTTTTCCTTGATAAATTTAGGTACTTTCTGCATAACGTCTTCTAAAGCATGAAGCATGCCGTAGAAGCTTGTGGAATCATTGCGGAAGGTTTGATTATTTAAAAGCTAATTGTGTGCCACCCAATTACTACCTACTAAGTAGATTGCAAAATGCATATATAAACATTATTCCAGTTTTTTTTATTTTCTTTCCTGAAGTCAAGAAGTAAATTTCAGAAAAGCAGAGTCTCTGTCTGTAAAGAAACAGTTTCACTGTTGGTTTGTACTGAGAGCTATTGTAAATGCTCCTGAGATTTTTAATATCTACTATGATATTTGCTTGAAATTTAAATATATGAATGAAGATAGTATACCTACTGTAGTTAAAGAGTTCACTGCTGCCTGGTGATAAAAATAGTAACTGTCCCAGAAGCGAGAGTAATCCACTATGAATTAAGCGATCTGGGATGATGGTTCAAATGTTTTTTATGCTGTTTGCACATTCAAGTTTTTCAATTTGTAAAGTATGAAATATTTAGTGGTTGTAGATAAAAAATTATCTGGTGGCTCTAGATGTTTGTGAGTGCTTGCTCAAAGCTGTTATGCTGACAGATGAAGGAAGCAATGCATTTGGTTTGTGGCGTGTTTTGTTTTTAATTCATTCATTTACATTTTGGTTTCACTTATTCCTAGTGACCTCTCTAGATCTGTGCAGAGATCTGTGCAGAGATCGTTAGTGCACACTGATGCTGTAATCACTTTCCCTTCGAGCCAGGCAGTCTGCTGCTCTTGTTTCCTGCCAGAATGGCAGAAGACAAAAGTGAAGTATCTGGTAAATTTTTCAGGCTCCAATTTCCAGCTTCATGCACAAGTCAGCTGAAAGTCCTATTGCTCTTACGTAGGCTGGAAACTAGTCGTGGAATGTAGTGAC